CCCTGCTCACCTGCTCCACCCTGGTGATGGCCACGTCAGCCTCCATCTGCCGGGCCTTGCGCTCGCGGGTCAGGTCATAGTAGACCTTGCCAGTGCAGAACAGCACCCGCTTCACCTGCTCAGGGCTCTGGGCTGCGGGGCCGCTGTCGGGGATGATGCGGAGGAAGTGGGTGCCTGCCAAGGGAGAGGAGGGCACTGTCACCCGCAGCAGCCTGGCACACCGCGCCGGCAGCTGCCTGCCCCCACATCCCGTGCCAGCCCCTCCTGGGACCCCAGCCTGGGCAGGCAAACCCGAGAGGCAGAGCCAGACCAGCTGGTATCGAGTTCAGCTCCCAGCCTGAACCATCATGGCTCTGTGGGACTCGGGGCTGCCAAACCCCAGCTGTGCCGCTCCGGCAGGGCGCAGTCGCCGATGGAGGAAGCGCCACGGCAAAGCCTGGAAAGCCAAGCCCCATCTCTCCAGGGCGCCAGAGCTGGCACTAACAAGGGGTGGCTCCAATTTGCTGGGTAGATGGCGGCAGCTGGCACACCAAGGCCAAGGCTGGGGCAAGCACGCCACTTTGGCGCTGGATGGGAGGGGGGAGGGAGGAAGGCAGCCCATGTGCAGAGCTCCCCGCATGGGCTGCCTGTGATGCCCCGATGCTGGTGGCGTCAGCCTCGCTCAGCCATTCTTCGGCACAGGGAGGCTGTGCCAGGTGGACTTTACCCGAGGTGGCCAGTTCCTGCCCTTCACCCTTCATCCCGCAGAGCAGCACAGGGGGGACCGGACACCTCCACGCCACTCGTACCTGGCAGCATGTCGTCGAAGTTGGAGCGGGCTTCAGGGTGACGCAGCAGCGACTTTGGAGTGAAGATTATCAGCTGGAGGGGGAGAGGAGGCAGAGTGAGGCAGTCGGCCTCGCAAGAAACACCTCCCTTGCAAGCAAAGGCCAGAGCACCGACCTGCCTGTCCTGCCTGCCCTCCCCTGCCTGAGCACAGGAGCGGCTGAGAGAGATTTGCTCCTCACTCAGCTGCCGTGCTTTGCCAGATCGGGCACCAGCAGCACCAGCTTTCCCAGTCTGGGTTTCCACTGGGGAAGAGGCCAAGGGGCGGCCGGGACCCCGCCTGCCCCACAGCTGGAGCAGAAGGCAAGCGGCTGGATCAGGTTATTTACTGATACCCACTGGCCCCAACATCTCCGACCTCCCCGCGCAGCGCAGGAGGGGGTTGCAGCCACCCCAGCCTGCACGAGCTGGCCGGCAGCACATCACGTACTGGGCCAGCCCTGAGCACCAGGAGGTCCTTGGCCTGGGCAGCAGCAAACTGTTTGCTGCCAAGGTGCAAGAACAAGCCCACCCCGAGCCCCGTCCCCAGGCTCGGCAGGGCCG